CAGTCAGTGATAGGATGGCCTGATTAGGTTATGCTTGGTTCTGGTTACTTGATGCTCAAATGTTGCTTGCTTTGTGCTTTTAGGAGTTCTCACTAACTTCAGCTAACTAGTAAGAGAATATGCTAAGTTACATATTATGGGAACTAAATAATTTTAGAAGGTTAGGTTTTAACTTTATTGCGCAGCTCTTGTTTGAGTCCAATCGTTTTAGTGTGAGACCTCTCATTCGAAGAATTATCTGGTTTTAGTGATATGTAATTGTATTCGTGAGATAGTTAGAGGAAGTTATCGGGAGTTTCTTCTGCATCTGATGGCAGAGAGTGGTGTGAGGTTCACCCTAGGAAAACCTAGGATGAGATCTAGTGCTAGGAGCCTTGTCTTGATGAGGGTTGATTGTTCGGATATAAGGTGACTTGTCGGTAATCCTTGAGGAAAGTATGGATATACGTGGAAGGTAGTATGGGCCCGTACTACTAGAAGCAGAGAATATGTACTCGATTCAAGAAGAGAAACAATGAAGCTTGTAGAGATTGCAATCCCTCGATATATTTTGATGCTTATTCTAATGGTTTATATGGTCTATTTTTTAGTATGGTGACATTGTGAGGCAAACCTGTTGGCAGTTCTGGTGCTGGAGAGGGATCGAGCTCATGTTCTAAAGTCGGATAGTTAGATGATCAGACTAGGGAGTTCATCTCATTTGAGATTATGCGTTGCATTCTTGAGCAGACTCCAGTGATCTTTGGTACGATTAAGGAGGACATTTTGGAGATTATGGATGAGTGGTTAATCGCTTTTCATCCTGAGATGATGGCCTTGCTTGGGGAGCATCCATTGACATTCAGGGAGTTCCGAGCATGTGGAGCTTCAGACTATCACGAGGCGAAGGACCCGATAGCAAGCAGGAGGTGGTTAGCGGATGTTTCTAACGCCTTATGCACCAACAGTTGCCTCGAAATGGGAAAAGGTCATAATTGCTTCCTGTCTTTTGAAGGACATGGCACGAGATTGGTGGGAGGAGGTCGATCACGCTGTGGGTGATGAGGTTGTTGATTCGATGACCTGGGATGATTTTGACCAGGTTCAAGGCGAAGTTCACACTAGTGATTTGAGTCGTCCTTTTATACATTTTAAAGTGTTGTTGTTCATAAAATTATGATCTTGAGTGTTGTATGTAACCCATGCATGCGTTAGATGGTCTTATTGGGTTAAGACCATAGGGTTTTGGACATTAATCACTTTATATCCTTGAAAAGTCATAAAGTTGGAAACTTTATGACTTAGGACATCATTTTGGGCTTGGATATAACTTTTGGATGGAAGGGCTTAGTGGGATAAGCTCTTAATGGAGTTTTGGGATTGGGCAACATATGTTGGGTGTACCTGGAAGTACATTGTGCGTATGCGGTCAACGCCCCACTTTTGGTCAAGATTAGAGTACGATGGGTGTACTCTCTTGATATGTAGGGCATAATCCGTTGGGAAGAAATATTGACTTTTTGACTTTGAGCGTTGACTTTGAATTTGACCAGGGTTGACCAAGTATGACTTAAGGGTATTTTAGGTATTTTGAGCTATAGTTAAGCCTTAGTCTCTATCTGTTGAATAGGTGACATGTGGAGGTGGTATTCGGAGCAGTGTATTGTTCAGCTATTCGTCAGACTGAGAAGTGAGCTTTCCTCACTGTATCTGTGGGTCGAAGGCACCAATGTCGGCCCATTAGATTATTTATGTTGGTCAGGATAATGTTATGATAGTTTGTAATTGTTCAGTAGATTTGTATGATTATCTGTATTTGTTGGCTCTGTGTTTATGTTTATCTGTTGCATATGTCGACATATTATGTTGGGTTGAGGCGATCCTGCTTTGTGTTGTAGGCCAAGACACCCGGGGACGATCAGATAGGTTGTAGGCCCTGCGAGGAGGTCCAGTCAGGTCGGCGGCCCGTAGAGCAGTCCAGATAGGCTGTAGGCCCTACGAGTCGGTCTAGTCATGTCGAAGACTTGTAGAGTAGTCCAGATAGGTTGTAGGTCCTGCGAGGCGGTCCATTCAGGTTGGTTGCTTATATTTGTAGGCTTGTTGTTATGTGGTGTGTTGGTACTTTGGGGTAACTCACTCAACTTTGGCTTAAAATTTTTAATTTATTGCTTCAGGTACTTCTGATGATGGTAGGAAAGCAAAGTTGTGATCATACGCAACTTCTTGTTTTATGTCATTAGGTCTTCGGAAAACTCTGATATGAAATAATGATTTGAAACAATGACTCTTTTGTAAACAATGTTGATTGATGGTTGATTTTGAAATGTTAACATTTCTTTGAATTTTGGGAGTGTTACAACTTATATAAAACTTAATGTTTATGGAAAAATAGAGGGTAGATCGAAACCATAACAAAAATAATGCTAAACTAAAAAAATAAGCAAGGGCAAAAAGGTAAATAAATTTTCAAACTTGAAATTCCAAAATTTTGAAGCTATTAGTCATGGGTTTGAACTAAGAATTTATCATAACCATTTAAATTGTGTTATTTATAGGGGTTTTAAGGATTATGTATGCCGAAAGTTTGCAGAAGATATATATACAAATGTGGGGTGTTTGATGCCAAATATCTATGAGTATGACCAAAACTTTCACTTGAGCTACATGCCAAATTTTAATATCTGTTTAAACCATTTAAGTTATGAATTCTCTTTTGATCCTGTAATTTTGTCAAAGTATAGAATTCAATGAATCGTGTGTTTCACTTCAAGTATTCACAAATAGTCATATTGAGATATCTATTTAACTTTCTCAACATAGAAGATGAAGTCCTATGTTTATTAATTTGTTTTACAATCAGAAAATAAATATTTTTTATTAACCAAGTAAAATACTATGATAAGAAAAATGTATTCACATGTCCCTTTCCTTTTTGTATTTTCTATTTGTATGGACTACTAGGAAGCCTAAGGGTGTCATGTTAAGTCGTTCAACTTTATTTGTACAACAAAGCAAGAGGAAAGCCCTACAAAGTATGAAAAATGTAATTACATGTTCCTTTCCTGTAAAATTCATTACTCATGTAATTTACATTTCTGACCCTAGAAATAAGATTTTCTTACATTTTGGTCAATAGCTTCCTTAATTGTAGGACACGTTTTTTTAGTACGTTGGGCGTACACTCGGGTATGTTGGGGTACGTGAAAAAACCCAAACCCTAATTTCTAGGGTTTGAGCCATATTTAAGCATCATTAACTCCCAATACCTCTTCCCATCATCAGCCTTCATTGCCCACTTCGTCCCTTACAAACCCTAATCTCCATTGGTGGTGTTTTGAGCTCATTTTTTGGTGTTTGGTGTCCATTATGGAAGAAAATAAGCCATTAGAAAGCAAGAAAGGAACTCTAAGCTTTGAGATCTGAGTTTTACACTCCTTGAGCAACCTACAGAAGGTATAAAGTTCTGAACTTGTGATTATCTCATTAGCTCTTGCTAGATATGGAGTTTTGTGCTTTTAGTCCCATATTCTTGGTCTAAGTAAGTATGGACTACCAAATGAGTTGTCCTTTTGGACATTTTAGAGTGTCTAGAGTTATAAAAATGGGATCTTGATCGTTCACATCACTCCATGCATGCTTTTTGATGGTTGAGAAGATTATGATATGTTAGGGTTTTGGTGTTGGGCACTTAATAGTCATGTAAGATCATAAAGTTGGAAACTTTATGATTTTGAACGTTATTTAGGACTAGATCTGGGCTTTAGGAGAAAGGACTTAAGAGAATATGCACTTAATAGGCAGATTGTTATCTGGTCAAGTACGGTGGGCGTACTTCGTTGGAGTCTCGTTTCTGGAAGGGTGAGTACGTCATGCGTACATGCTGAGTACGTTGGGCGTACTTAGGCTAAAGTTAACTTCTTTGACTTTAACCTAGGGGTATTTTAGGTATTTTGAGAAGTAGTATGAGATTGGGTCGTTTTTTGTTGTATAGGTGACCTGTAGAGTCAACAGATGAAGTTGTGATTTGTTCAACTATCTTTTCAGGCTATGAGGTGAGTTTTCCTCGCTGTACTCATGGGTCGAAGGCACTAAGGCCAACCTACTAGATTTCGTATCCTGGTATATTAGATTGTTGTTTTGCTGAGTATGCATTAGATTGGTAGATTTGCATGATTACATGTATTATTAGTTATTGATTGTTATTATATATGTCGACATGTTATGGTTTGTTGGGTTGAGGCGGTCATGCTTTGTGCTGAAGGCTAAGACACCCGGGGGTCCAGATAAATTGAAGGCTTGCAAGGCGTTTCAGGCCGAAGGCCCAGAGAACGATCCAGATAGGCTATAGGCCATGCGTGACGGTCCAGTCAGGCTGAAGGCTCGTATATGCATGTTGTTATCTGTTTTGGTTATGTGTGATACTTTGAGGGAACTCACTAAGCTTTGGCTTACGGCTTAGGTTTTATGTTTCAGGTACTTCAGATGATCATTGTCTATTTTCCTTTCAATTTCTTGTGTTGTAAGTTTTACTTACAACTACTGCTCATGTAGATTTACTATTTCGGGATTCTAATTAAAATTGTCTGAAAACGATCCAGATAGGCTATAGGCCATGCGTGACGGTCCAGTCAGGCTGAAGGCTCGTATATGCATGTTGTTATCTGTTTTGGTTATGTGTGATACTTTGAGGGAACTCACTAAGCTTTGGCTTACGGCTTAGGTTTTATGTTTCAGGTACTTCAGATGATCATTGTCTATTTTCCTTTCAATTTCTTGTGTTGTAAGTTTTACTTACAACTACTGCTCATGTAGATTTACTATTTCGGGATTCTAATTAAAATTGTCGTTTTAGAAACACAACACTAAAAATGAAACAACAAAGTTATATTTGGGTGAAGTTTTTAATGGATAATGTCCTGAAAAGAAAACAAAATATAAGGAAGTACAATGTTATTATCAGGTGAGTTTTTTAAAATGACCGGTCATATGACTTGATTTAAAAAAGAAAATCTAGACAAAACCATGAACAAAATAACAAATGAGAGAAATAGGAATTGCAAAACCTCAAAATACTTAATCACAAACCATCTTAGAACACTTGCTAAAGAATGAACAAACTACATTAATCCGTATGAAATCTAATTAAAGCCCGGATTTGTATAAAAAAAACATTTGGAATACAAGAGGTAATTGGTCTACATCTTCAGAACTCTGGTTTTCTTGCAGCTTTCCAAGCTGTATACTTTCGGGTTTCTTGTTTGTATCTTTTCAACTCCCTCACAACCGCAAGAATCACATGTAGCGAAAGTGGCAGAAAGAAAGGCTGCAAATACACACAAAATATTATTTTATGAATTTTTTATTTCATATTTACCATTCACCATTTACCAATTAACATAACTATTACTTTTTAATAAGGAAAGAAAGAAACTAACCGAATAGACAGCAAAGTTGTGCTCAAATGAGTAGTAACTGACAGACATTACAGATGGATGAAAGAAGGCATCCTCAGCCAATGATCTTGCATGCCTCGAGTAAACTGCCAAAAATACCACATAAATCATTAACAAAAACATATATATTTTATATATACAAATTCAACAATAATACCAGCTGAAGCATCATAAATGCCTTGTGATGCATTACTCTGAGCTAACTTTGCAGCCTCGAGAGAAAACTTCACCTGTAAAAGCCAAGATGTAAGAAAGTTGCTTCTGTATTAATTATTAAGTCCTTCTTTCTGTATTAAGTAAGGAACCTGTTTTCCAATCTCATCCTTGATGATCATTCTTGGTAGTGATTGCACCTGCATTGAGATTGGACAATTTTTTCAGTCAACATTTCTGATTCAAGTGATTATTATTATTATTAAAATAATCTGAAAAATACCAATCTTGAAAGTGACCCGAGTGTTGCGCCACATTGGCGAAGATTATAGCATGCATGTTGACGAGCCAACACATCTAGTTCCCTGAATTCATAAGTAAACAATTTGATTTAAAAAAAAAAATGAGGGGTAAAAAGTATAAATGATACAAATTAATACCATTCTGTAAAGCCTCTCTCACTGGCTAAAAGAAGAGATGTTCCTGATGTACCCTTGTGGAAACCACTTGATTTTAAACCAAATAATTGTCGAAGCTGTCCCATGAAAACTTCAAATATTTGGTTAACTTCCTGTTTCAGATTCATCATCATCATCATCAATACTAGTCACAAATCACAATATATATATAAAACTTGTCAATTTGGAAGATTTGTAAGAGTGCATATTTGTTTATAACCTGGGGAGAAATTTTATGTATGAGAGGGTGCATGCTATTGGTATTTTCCAAGCAGTTGGGAGGATTCAAAATTACAATACCACCCCATGTCTGCAATATGTAACGCTTTTACAATGAAATCAAGATCCCAAATGTATTTATTGGTGAGAAAAGTAAATTTAAACATAGAAGTTCACCGGAGATATAAAGCCATTTGTCACTGAAATCTCTCCATTTGGAAGCTGTAACCTGAGTGGGCATTCATTGGCAGATGGTATATATCTGAAATTAAGTGCAAACACACACAATGCACACATCAAGATATCAATTAATAACACCACAAATTGCAAACTCTTTTTTAGTTCTTCATAAAGGTGATATTGAGTTAAAGAATATACACCACAAATTGCAAAATCTTTGACCTCCCACCAGCTGCAATGGAAGTATCCAGATGCCATTCATTTGAATTCACCTACAAAGCTTACACAAACCTCACTTAAAAAACCTCTAATCACACACCATAGTAATAATAATAATCTTCTGTTGGAAAGTAATTAATTACTTGTCAACTTACAAAGAATGGGAGATCTTTGGTGCTAAAGACATGACTCTCTTGTTCAGCATCCCAATAAGAATATGAAGATTTTGGAGTGTGATACAGAACCTGACTTTCCACACTTATATTTGCTATAGGGCCCAATGCTTCAAGTGTAGGGGCTAAAAGTTTCTCATCTACCTCCTGAAAATCCCTTCATATAGAATCAGATGTTTTAGTACCATATGTGGGATCCAATAAGAATGTGATGCATAATTGCATATACATATGTGGGATCTAAAAAGTAAGAAATCAAGAAAATCTTTCATACCAATCATAAATCCAATCGCTTGGATCAGCATTCAACAAATTGAAAGAAAGCACAATTTTCCCATCAGCACCAGCAGGCATAAACTCCCCTTGGATACTCTCTTCTTCTTTCAGACCACTCACAAATATCTTGATGAAAATTTCAGCTACTTTCTCTGCGAGCACATTCATCTCTGAAACCCTACCTACAATCCAAGCATGTCGATACTTCCCCACCACTGATCTAATCCTATCCCCTTCACCAGTATTCACAACTACAACAGTGTAAACCCTGTTCCTTCCTACAACAGATTCCAAATAATCATCAAAATTGTCTTCGTTCTTCAAGGTCTCATCATGATTCAACTTGCTTAGTGCTCCACATCTCCATGCCCTCTCTCGATCAACGTCGCCATATTGTACACAATCGTTGCCGGAGTCTAAACTCACTGAGACTGTGTAATTGTTTTCACAAGTACCACAAACGGAATTCCGATCAGCAAATCGTAACATGTGATTGGTAACCAAAAACCCTAACTTTTCAGCGTTTGACTTAACTGGAGTACTGTGATCGAGATTTACGAACACTACGTGGAATTTACACGGATACAAGAACGGTTTTGAATCAATTGCGTTTGATAGTGAATCTATATCTCGAAAAGGAAGTGGTGATCGATAGATCTCTATCGATTTAAGCAACCATGGTAAACCTATTATGACATATCCAAAACAAATCATCAATAATGCGCTTGTACAAATAGATTTTAAGTGTATCCATATGATACCTATATGTACAAATAGAGTAAGAGAGATACCCAACAGGAAGGAGAAGAAAACAGATAGGGTTAGTGCGAGACGCTTCAATCCAGGTTTTGTCTTTCGCATGGTTTTATGGTCGAATATCAATGTCTCCGAGTTCTCCTTTCTATCTTCTTCTGATGGCGACAATTCAGTTCCCATGGTTTCAGAGATTTCCGCCATTGATGGACCTTCGAAGGTCTCTCTTCAGCTCGCTATAATATTCTCTAGCTCAAAAATCCGGACTGGAAGAACTTTTAAAATAATTAATAATTTTAGCCCTTGAATTTACAAGTATGAAAGTTTAGTCCCTGCACGATAGTTATGGGTATTTTATGATATCAAGCGTATTTTATTGAACCTAACTTCGGATATTTTCATATTATTCAAGCATTTGAATCAAGATGGACTTGTTAAACATAGTTCTAATAGCTGTAATTGAGCTACTACTGTTGAATCGGGCTTTAACTAATTTCTATGTAAGCAAGCTTAAATTTACAAAAGAAGAGTCGTTAAATTACCAAGTCGAGTTTAAACTTGGCTTAACGCTATTAAAACTCGAGCTATTTGCGGCTTTTTTATAATATTGACTCGAGGTAGAAAGAAAAAACACATGCAGTAGCACAAAGTTGTATATTTTATTCAAAAGTTTGTACATGAAAACCCAAGTTTTGTTTTTAATAAAAACAAATATAAAACAAAGTTAAATCTTTGTTATCATCGTACAACGAAGGAGAAGGTAACGAACAACAAATTGCGTCGCTAAGTCTTTTTGTATGGTAAAATCATTCTTTTAAAAACTATATCCATAAACCTAAGGGATATAACATTGTTATGCATGATTTGTTGTATTCTATTAAGAAGTTTCACCGAATCTGACGTAAAAAAATCAAACATATTAAATGCAAATAGTACGAACACGTGTTGATTTTCCATGCATAATTTCTCATTTTTGGTGACTTTGCACGTAGCAGTTTTTAATGCAGTTTGTCCCGCCGTGAAACCATGTTAGGTGTGTCAGACCCAACAAATAAAAGGGGTACAATAGACTCCAAATACACTGCTTTAATGCACTAAAAAGTAGTACAAGGCAAGTAGGGTCGAACCACAGAGACACGGGACAAAAGTCTATACCTTTTTGCACAAGGTACTTTGGTCACAAAGAGGGGGTTTGTTTGCAAAAGTAAATAACTAAATAACAATCTACTTTAAAAGCATGCACAAAATGAAATATATTTGTAAACAAATTGATTGAATGGTTCTAGTTCTAGTTCTCAATGTTGTTGTTCAACTTGATTATGACTTGATCTAATTCAAGATTGCTATTCTATGTTGGTACTGAAAGATATTAACACACTCTAATAACTCTCGCTTGCCAAATTATCTAACCAAAACACGCTCTTTGATTAGACCTAGCTTTACTAATTCAACCTAAACACGCTCTTAGATTGTATTGAAAAACTGCATTAAGTTTTGTACAAGCTTCCCAACAATGTTCATTTCTTCTCATACGCTCGGAAGTGTGAAAACATGTGATATATGTTTTACAATAAGAAAACTTATTGCTTGTTACCAATTATTAACTCAATAGAACGATTAGGTGCCCTAAAAGTTAATTAACTGCACAAAAATTCAATTCATGAAAGTAGCCAATCAAACACAAATCAAATTCAAGGATTCTAGTTTAAACAAAAACATAATCACTAGAATAGAATCACAAATCAAACATCAAATCATATGCTTCAAGTCAAGCAATCAACATTTTTTTGAACAAGAACTAGAACTAGGGTTTCTTAGCCACACATGGCTAAGAACAAATCAGATAAGAATAAGATGGAATTGGAATGTTTAATCCTTACAAAAGTGAAATCCAAATGTTTGCAATGATTAAGTCTTCTCAAAAGCTCTAAGAATTCTCCCAAAATTGCCCTAGATCACCAATAACTGCTCTCAAAACCGTTCTCCCCTTCAAAATGACGTCTCTTCCTCTTTTATTAAAGTTCACGTGACTTGCCATAAGGCCATGCGTTTTTAGCATGGCCATGCCTTTTGCCCATGTGTTTTTTGGCATGTCCATTTGTCTTGACCATGTGTTTTTGGCATGGCCCATGCTTTTTTGCTAAAATTCCAAAAAGTCTTCACTGTTGGCTCCATCTTCAGTCCAGCTTCACCACGCGTCATGTTGCTCAAATATGAGATGATAAAGGACAAACACGAACCGTGTCAAAGTGACAAGAACCGCGTTTCAAACGTAATCCTTTGCTATGAAGATAATGCAACAATGACTCGGGTTATGTCTTCATGCTTTCCTCCATGGAATTACCGGTTCATTTTCTCTGCATGCTCCAAAGCTCCAAGAATCCAAGCTCCATGCATCCATGCATCCAAGCTCCATGTTCCATGCTCCATAATGCCTGCAAAATAAATGAAAAATAGTGAAATACCAGACATTCTTAATGAAATATGCAACTACCCTAATAATCAACTAAATGCAAGAATTATGAAGTAGAATGCTATAAAAAGATGGAAATAAACATGCAAAATAGGTGCATAAAATGCACCTATCAAACCACCGGCCCTCAAGCCCACGAGAGGAGATATCCCTATAAGGTCCACACATGTGTGTTTCCCTCCAACCTATCCAAAAATCAAAAAATATGTTGGTCTAAGAGTTGACCTTCATTTTGTCGGGTTAGTCAAGAAATTCGTAGGTGCATCTTTCTTGACAAAAACTTCGGCACGTTTAAATATGTCGAACAAAACATCGACAACTATATCGTGCCTGTATTTGAACCTCGAGAGCTCTTTACAATTAATTGCATAATATTATACACGATATGTACTTGAATAATTTTATGAGTAACATGATTATTCATGAGATGCAGATCACTGTGTATGATATGCACATTATCATTCTCCTTTATAAACTTCATGGTCAAAATGTAACATCCGATTCCTGGTGCGCAGTTAATTCAAGCATTTCTTGTGTTTTTCTCTGGGACTCGACGAGTTGGAGGCCCAACTCGTCGAGTAGAGTCGAGATCCGTGAACAATTTAAGTGACCTACTCGACGAGTCGGAAGACAGACTCGGCGAGTAGGTGCTGTTTGGGTAAAACCCTAAATTGAGGGTTTGCACCCTATTTAAACACCTTATCTCAGCCTTCATCGTCCCTTATACTCCCAGAAGACATCATATCGAAACCCTAGCCCGTTTTCGTGTGTTCTAAGACCATTTTGGTGCTTTTTAGTGGGTTGTGAAGCTTGAGAAGAGGAAAGGGGTTTGTGAAACCAAGGGGAAACAAGAAGATCCAGAATTTGGAGCTCATTTTCAGCTTATTGGAGGTATAAAGTTGAACCTTTGTCTATAGATCTTGATTTTTGGTCCTTTTCCTTCATCTTTCTAAGCCCTAGAGAGGTTGTATTCGGGATTAAGTGTTGGAAGTCAAGCGTATGCTTTAGATCCAGGTCTATTGGGGGGTTTTATGGCACAAAAGGTGCCCATTTTGCTACCATGAACACCCATGCACCTTGGAGGCCATCTTTTATGGTTTTTTGGGCCAAAGACCCCTTGCATCTGATAAGTTTGTAACTTTACGTGTAAAATGGACATTAAGAGGCAGATCTATGGTTTTGGTGTGTTAATACCCATTTAAATGGACTGTATAGTGTTGGAAGTCATCTGCTTAGAGTCTTATAATCAGAAGTATTGAATGCGAAACGAGAATTTGAACTTATAAATCGAATCTATTTTCTGAAATCAAACTGGGACGTATCTAATCGGAAGCCTTCAACGATTTTGGAAATTATTAGTGGAATCAATTATGAAATAAGAAGTATACATAATCACGATTGGAATTTAATGTCACAAACTCATAAATCATTCACCGGGATCGGAGTTTACTGGAATCGGAAGTAAACAAGTGGAATCGGAAGTCGCATTCTTTCGATGTTAACTGGTATCAGAATTGATAATCTCATTTGATGCTGATTTTGGTATCACAAATCGGAGTTATCAATTGAATCGTAGAGGTATGCAGTCGATCGGAGGCATTTAATTTCATCAAATGTGATTTTGACTTTTGAAAATCAAATATCGGGTTCGTATCTGTTTAATTGACGACGAAGCTTCACTTTGCAATTTCAATCCTCAGAGTTCTTTTTGTTGGGCAGTTTCAACCCATTTTTTCAAACTATTCATAAATTCTTGGTTTTTGCCATTTTAACTCTTTCTTTCCAAAATATTTTCGTTTCTAATTCTTTTCTTTGGTCTTATTCTTTTCAACCCCTTCTAAATAATTGCTTCTTATTCTATTCTTTTTGTCTAAAATTTAAAAAATCGAAAATACAAAATTAATTTTTGTTATTTTTCTGGTTTTAATTTTTGAGAATTGTGAATGTTCTAAAAGGGATTTATTTCATCTAATCTGATGACTTTTGAAGACTATTGGTGATTCTTCTTAACTTTTCGGATACTCTTCATGGTATTTGATGATTATTCAATGAGAAGCTCGTATTTGGAAGACGATATTTGTTTCTCTTAATTTGAAGACCCCATGTACTAATGAGTCTCACAATTTAAGGGGAGAAATGCCAAGAAGATCGAAAATCGTGATCTTCATCAGTTTCAACATCTAGGGAGAGATTGTTGATATTTGAGATATTGAAATTGATTTAACAATTTTGATTATTTAGGGAAGCCTTTTAGGGTTAATCGTTTTATGATTCCCTACAGTGCCTTTACAGTAGAAGTTCTTCATTGAGCTCTTCTAAGGCTTTGTTTTTATATTAAGACATTGGTTTTATATTTATGGTATATATTTTATGTTCCTTATAAATAATCATTAAGTTAGATTTTGATGTAGGTTTTTTACCAGATTAGGTTTTTCTCTGTACGTTCATATCATAATCAATACACACAAAAACCTTTATCAAATTACTTGCATATTATGGTGATTGATTCTTGATTGTTCTTGATATTCCGTATTTGTCATCTCATATTTATTCCCATCAGTGAAGATTCAAAAGTTGTTGGTGTTCTTAGCTATGATTCAAGCTATATCAACCTTTTATATTCTTTTTTGACCTCTGTAAGTCTTCAAGATTACATCTTTATGCTTATAAGTTGCTAGATCTAGGTTCTAAGCTTGTTTTTGGTATATCTGATGAAGTTTTGAAGTTTGGATGTGATAAAGTTGCAATATTATCATTTCACCTTGTCCCATAAGTATTTTGGTCCATGAATCTAGTATTTCCTGGTCTTTAGGTA